CTGCATGCTAACAGGTGCTGGAACTCCCTGGATAATAAATGAAAGCACTGGGTAGTGGCATGTTTGTCACAAGGGCCCAAGGGCTTACAATTCACCATTCCTATTTGTCTAGCAGAGCTGGATTTGTTAACCTTGTAGTGGCCTGTCTTTTCTTCCATGTTGTACATGCAGTAATTACAGGTTTCACGCTACAATAGGTTGCCAGGGGACTTTTCCAGAGCTCGAAGCAATGATTCAGACGTGAAATTACAGACAGATGCCTGCAGTTGTGACGGCTACATTAATTTGCTGCTTTCACAGGTCACAACGTTGGGTGCTTTATTATCCAGGCTCTGCTCAGCAGGGGTAGGCTTCCTGAGAACCATTTGCTGGAGCTCCCTCCTACACGCTGATATTAGTAGAAACCCATTTTCAGTGCTAAAGGATTACTTGGCGTGGCAGATCCTAACAGGAAGGTTTTGTATTTCCTTATGTGCTAATCTGCACTGCTGTCCTTGCATCTGATATGAAGAACTCAAACTAGGTGCAACTGTACAATTTGGAGGAGTAGGTTGAAGCATAAATCAGTGCTCCTACCTCTGCCCAAGCTCATCTGCTAGGGTGACTTTTAGACTGCAGTTGGAAGCAACATGCACGCAGCACAGACAGAGCAAGCGGCGGTTATAAGAGTGCCTTAGGAGTTCAGGGGCCAGGTCTTTAGAACACTGTGTCCTAAACATGGCAGGTTGCTTTTGAAAATGGAAAGTACAAGTGTTAAGTTACAGCCTGTATAAAAAACACTCTCTACAAATTTGGCCAGTGAGGTCAAGCTGCCTGATTGCAGTATCAGAAACCTGTGTTGAAAGGCTGTGGTCAGTCAGTGGAATCTTCATCTTTTCTATCCCTTGCTGTCTCTGAAGTAAAAGCAGTACTCACAGTGACTGAGGTGTTTTAATGTATTATCAAGTCTGTAACTCAGCCTTCACAACAGTTTTGAAGGGAAAACAAGCTGGCAGAATCACAGTCAAAGAAAAAAGGTTTCCAGGACCTTGAAATCAAGCTGCTTGGATATTTCTAAGAATTGTCTTAATTTTTATAGGCACAGAGGAATTCTGTCATAACACCATAAAAAATCAAATCATTAAATGAGCAAGTAGGACCATACATGCAGTTATGAGAACTTCATCTAGAAAGTGTCTCCCCAACTTCTGGAATGGAACACTTTTATTGCAGCACTATCTCCTCACTGTTAAACATGAACAAGTGAAAATTGTACCCCTGAAACTACTCCTACATTTTGGTTTCATGTAAACATGATGCTGCTCACACTATTTATGCAGTTCAACTTTCTTGATTTTACAAAATGGCTGTGGCTTCTGACAAACAGCTATGTACAAAAGACAAGAATCAAGCCCTATCATTTTGTACTAAGAATAAAAATGCATGATATTGCATCTTCTATATTGAAAGGATGAATACATGAGGGTCTATTATAACTGGAATATAATGGCTTATTGCAACTAATTGACATTTTGACCAAATCTGTAATGTGGATTCAAATAGAAGTGCAATACAGCCAATATGCTCAGTATAAAAATATTATACAAAATAGGAACAACAAGAAATCACTACACATTCTGCTCTTCTTCTCACAAATCCTAACAGAGCACTGTAAAGCCTGGAGAAGGCTGGCAATTGCTCTAGTAACTTTCTATAGAAAACTGCTCTAGGCAGACAGCAAGCACACAACCTTTATGTCCCATTGGTTCATATTCACTTAAAATTTAAAGGGCTGAAAAAAGAACTCACAGCTGGAGGCTCTTGGCAAACATTAAATTAGCTGCCACTGTTATCCCTACCTATTCTGGTTTTCTCTATGGACAAGATTTGCCTAATAAAAATCTAGAAGAATAATTCTGAAGTCAGTTTCATATTTAATATGATTGAAGAAAGCTGAAAAGCAGGTTTATTCAACTCATTGAAGAGCCTTGACATTAGGTGAGTCTCAGAGTAAGTATCTTTCCTTTTAAGCACAGCCAGTTAGTTCTGTGTGATTTAATGAAAGTCATGCATCAATAAGTTTTTGTTTAAATATGAATGTTTATAGAATCTAAGAATTAGAATTTAGGTTGTCTGGCTTCTGATCTGACTCAGAATATGTGATGAAAACAAGTGGACTAATTTAACTTACCTAAGGTAAAATTGCATACAAGATTGTAATAAAAATCATAGGGGTCACATAGGACTAGCAAAGCTCTGAGCATATGTTGGTATGCATGAGCATACCAACACAGAGAATATATTGCACTATTCACTGAGGTACATTTGGCATCCAGGCACATCTTAATCTTGAAAGAGAGCTGAACACATCACAGGGAAATCAGCTGTGACTCTGGTGATTTGCCATTATGTGAAATCAATTCAGATTAAAATTTCTTGACCTGGAAAATACTGAAACAAAGCAAGTAAATGCCTGAATGCCATAAATAAAAAGTTAGCAGCACTTACTGGCTAGATTTATAGCCTCTTGCTAGTGCTAAAAGTCTCATTATATTGGTAGAGGCATTTAAATAATTATATTTATGATAATATCTACAGTTCCCAAATGCTATTAGACTACCATGGTTACTGTCCACACAATCTTTGCCTTAAAGACCTTACAAACAAGGATACAAAACACGGGAGATAAGAGCAGCGTTATGGGAGTTGGATGACAGCCAAAATTGCTGTTGAAAACAATAGTGCTGTAGGAAACAGCAAAAATGTTATTTTCCTATTTCCATCTGAAAATAAAATAAAAGAGACATTTCCTGGAAAACCTAATGCAAAACTAGAATTAACCCCTGCACATATTTTGATTATTTGTAACACTAAATTTTAATTAAAATAATCTGAAAATGAAAAGCATAATTAAACCAAATATTAAAATATCCTATTAAGAAAAAGGTCAAAATAGAATACTTCATTTTATTTTACAGTGGAGTTATCCAACATGGATGTAGTCAGACAGAGCCTACAGCCTTTTTTTCCCCATAAAGTGAAGATTTCTGATGGAAACAGCGATCCATCACACAATGTTTCACCTGCTTCGATTATGAGTCCTGACTAATAAATACTCAGCTAGAGCAGAATAAAATTCTCAGAATCACAAAGAAAGCATGAAAGAGAAATTCAGAGACTGAATCCTGCTTGTTTAGAGCTGCAGGACCAAGACATGGCAGCTCTCCCCAGGCTCTGAAGTGGGTGGCGGCATTACAGCTGACACTGCTCGTGATTCAGTTTCTCAGTGTAAAAAAGTAAACATGTCTGAAGGTTAGAATTGAAGTTCATCATAGGATTTTGGGGATTAACAGCAGTTTTCATCTCCCAGCTCTTCAGTCTTGCTTCAGTTAGTTAGAAGAAAACCGGCTAGAATTTATGGAAGAATTAGTATCTTGCCTGGGACCACTTTGGGTTTAAACTCAGTTTGCTTTACAAGGTTTTTCAGCAGTGAGATTCTTGGTTGCTAAAGGAAAAATAATGTAGAAGCTTGCCGAACAGCAAGTCATCTCACTTGTGCAGATTATTTTCACTCCAGTGGAAGATGAGAGATAGAAGTGGTTGAGTGAATGCTGTTCACCAGCAGGGAGGGAAGGAAAGAGGACTGTGGTAGCAGTCTGGAGCTGTCTTACCTGTTATGTTAGAGGACCCAAGAGTTATTGAGCTCTAGACAAGAAGACAAAGAGCCAGTGATAACCACATCTGATATTGGAGGTGTGAGGGGCCACAGTATCTCTTTCAGTGGCAAATTAGCTCTGTAGATCTTCATGAAGCTGGGATGCCTGGCATAATTAGTGACATGTCTGAATAGTTATTGAGTCAGATACACCTTGGGGTGGATTTTTCTATCATCACCGGCAAACAAAAGCTGCTTCAGTGATATTAACGAACTCCTACTAGAGGCGGCAAGCAAAGATTCATGATCAAGTTTTCTTAAATGTAGGAATTTTAGATCATTTACACTATTCAGTTATTTCAACTACTGCAAAATCTGAATTAAGAACACTGAAAAGTCTTTTTCATTGAATCAACTGCAGGTAGACTCATTCTAAGAGGAAGGAGAGGAATGGAGAACTTTCACTTACAAAGTTCAATGTTTTCTGATTAAATGCAGAAAAAAATGAAGAATAAAGTCGGAACTTTATTTTCTTTCTAATAGACAGGCTTCATTTCTAATCCGGTTTAGTCTTCTGGTACAAACTTGAAGAATTGTTGCCCATATTTATTTCAGGCTTTTGATGTTATTTCCTCCTTATCCACCTGCCACAGACTTCTCTTCCCTAGTAAACTTCTTCAGGATTTGTTCTTATAAATGAGCTTTTGGTCAGCTCATGTTTTAGGATGTTTGAGACATCAGATGGTGTTTTGTAGGCATCAGAAGGACTGACACATTGGGGTCTCTGTTTTCCATTATCACCTTGTAATTCAAATAAAGGTATTTATTAACACCTTTGTGCAACAAAGGAGAGATATTGTCTTGTTTATGTAAGTGAAATAGAGCATTGTGGAAGAATTCTAGCAGGGACAGTGCTGCAGTAGGATGATTGCATAATAGTATGAGCCCAAAAAGGGAAGGTGGAAAGCTATAGAAACACAAAACTTCTGGTATGTTTGGCTGCAGGTGTAGACAAGGAGGTGGCTCTTCTTCCTACACCCAGCTACTGCCTGATGCAGCACACAGACCCCTCATGATCAACCTGCATCCACCCTGATACATCACCCGAACCCAGACTGTGTCTAGAGGATGAATTTAGATCCTGTCACAGAGAAACCCAATTTTAAAGATCATGATACAAATTTCATAATGATGCGAAACACTTGCAGGAATATTAAAGAGAGAAAAAAAGAAAAGACTCTTTTTAACAAGCTTTATAACATGTAAATACATCAGTCCAGAACTTCAGACTAAATTAGCTGCATTAGCATCCCAGCATCTGAGTGGAGTGTCTGAGTGGAGAACAGCACACTGAGCAAATGCTAACTGCAGCTGCAGTTCAGCTCTATGAAAAAAAGCCCTTCTCAGAGCTCTGAGAAAACAAGCCTGACACCAACTTACAACAGCAATGTAAAGTATCCAAGAATAAACATGCTTCACATCAGAGACAAGCAGAGCAATAGTCTCTCAGCTAGTATCAGGGGTATGCTGGGTGTCCTGAGTAGACTGCAGATGGGCAGTGAGAGGAGACCAAAATCAATATTGCTAAAGTTACAATTAGATAAGCTTATTTTTCCATCTTTATGCTTCTTTATGAGAGTGTCTATTGTAAATCAGCATGCCTGCACTGATGCTGACAGAACTGTGCCAGTTTTTTTAGCTAAATGTAACGTAATCCAAGACCCTGGGAGTAAAGTTGAGCCTGGGAGGGAGGAAGGGAGAGGAGAGGGGAAGGTATTTTGACATTTGATTTTATTTTCTCATTACCCTACTATGAATTGATTGGAAGAAATTGAATTCATTTTCCCCAAGCTGAGTTTGTTTTGCCCATGGTGGCAATCAGTGAATGATCTCCCTGTCCTTATCTCAATGCATGAGCCTTTGTTGCATTTTCTCTCCCCTGTCCAGCTGAGGATGGCAGTGATAGTGGTTTTGGTGGGCACCAGCCAGTGCCAACCCACCACAACCTTCTAGCAAAAACATTCATTCCTGCTGCTGCCTTGATAGCAAAGCCTCTGAGAAGTTTTGAGAAATACTCCACTGTTCCTTCAATGGCTTCTTTCTCCAGTTTTGTCACGTAAATTCTTACCACTGGATAATCCGTACAGTATTTGGTTAAAAATATTGAAATTAACTTGCTTTGCTAGTAATTGGAAGCAATATTTTTCTCTGCACGATCTGAGTGATATCTTGTGGAAGCTCAGGGCTCCTTTTAATCAGCATTCCAGACCACAAAATTGTCTTGCGGTTATTCTGTTACTTTGAAATGAATCAGTGTGGGTGACTAAGGAAGGACGCCGAAACCCCTCATTTGATCTTTTAACGTGAAGATACAAAATACGTTTTCTCTCCACTGGTGGTCTGCTACCTGCAGCTTATCTATTAGATCACATAGGTTCAAGTATTTAAATGTTAGGGCGCAAGCACGAACATATGTTTCCAAGCAGGGGGAAGAAGCTTAAATCTTTCATGTTTTAAATATGGGCTTTTCTTGCATGAAGACAGTTCTGCCAAATGACCTTTTTGAAGTTCACACAGTGATCGATTTCCTGCCCTCAGAGGTGTGGTTACAAGATTATCAGTAAAAAAAAATTCCTCTGATTTTTTATGGGTTTTTTTTTGGTGGGATGGTGGGTTTTTTTCGTGTGTGTGTGAAGGGGATTGGGGTTTTCTGAGGGAGACTGATCAGCTCTTTCTTTGACATAGGACATTTTCTGTATTAACTATCTTTTGCTTCTGAGAGAACTCTTTAATGTTATGCATCGCTTCAGACTTCAATGATTACTTAAGTAACTGCAGTTGTTTTTAGTCTCGTCATTCAACTTATTTCAGTGCACTTTGTTGTTACTATTGTAAAAAGGCAAATATCTGCAGTTGACAAGGAAAACGTCAAATGCTCATTATTCATAGGAATATTAACATTCATAATCTGAATATTATGGCCATTCATACCATTCTTGCAAACTTGAAAGTCTTATTGACAAAGTTCTATTTTCATTGCTTTGCTTTATAATATAGCATCATGATTTTAATGCAAAAGTACACATGAGGTTAAGACCTTCCATAAGATCTAGCTAATAATTTGAAATGTTTGGGCAAAAATACATGACCATTAAGATTGTGTTAATCACTGTCATTCCTTCAGCTTCAAAAGCCAAGACGGTTTGGGTTTATTTAGAGTTTAATTGCAAACTTCCCACAGGGGTCTCAGTACACTCCTTATAACACAACCTTTGATGACTTAGCCATGCAAAGGATTTGGTTTGAAGTTTTTGATCTGACACATGGATTATCACTGTAAAGAACTAGCAAGGCATAAAATGGAATCTCTAGATTTGTTTAGATTAATGCCCATCATCCAGGCTTGATATTTTTAAGACAGGTTTCTAATTACTATGCCCTTTATGCTGGAGCTGTGCACCGGAGATTTGTACAAGCATCAGGGACAATGTTTATTGAAATGTGTGTGATATAAGACTGTTAGCAACTCCTAAAAGAGCTATCTACTCTGTTTGTAATGCTCCTGAGTTCTCACCAATCTAATGTGTACTCTACCACCTGTCTCCCACCATTATTATTAACTTATGAGCTTCTCCAGGCTAGATAGAGGCTGAATAAATTGTAGATATGAGTTTCCCAAAGGGACAGAGAACACGGAACTAAACACAGCTCACATTCAGCCGCACTTTCAGATGGCAGGGGAAACTTACCCAAGAAAACATTGACCAGTGCCTCTGAACAACTTCATGTCAGCACTTCATGATCTGAGATCATTTTTTCTTTTTAACTACTGCTGTAAACACTCATTGCAAGTCAGCTCCTACACTGATACAGTTCTGCTGCCTGCATAGTTTTGACTTATATGAGCAACTCAAAACATAAATAGTCCAGCTGAAATCAGCAGTTACACCCAATGTTGCTACTGAATAGGTGAATCTGTTGACAGATTATTTGTGTAAAGCCCTTGCCTACTCTGAAACTTCATGAAAACTCATAAAGAAAACATGTGCAAATGAAGGGCTACAGCAAGGCACAGAAATCATGCGGGCTGCAGGATTAGGGCAATTTTAGACATGTGTGTCAAGAGAATGAGAACCGAGATAAATGAGACTCTCCAGCTTCTTCAGGATGGATATTGAGGTAATTTTCACTTTGCCACCACCAGGACCTTGGCTGTCACATTCAAGAATAGAAAGTAGTTCAGATGCAGCTAAAATTCTTTGCACCTTTTAACTTTTCAACAGTTCTTTCTGTTTGTACCTTCTTTCTACCACCTCTGTCCTCATCCTTTCAATTTTTTTTTCCTTTATTCTTGTCCCACCTGGAGAGTCTGTGTGTAACCTGTAGGCATAAAACCCTACAGAACTTACAAGATCTGTGTGCTGGCAATACCTACCCAAAAGGCCATGGCTTGAGAGGCAAATGGAAGTTTTCAGAGGAGATTCCAAGCATAGATTCCAACCCTTTTCCCACACAGGTCGATAAATCTCTCAGCCTTCACATTATCCATACTGACATACATTATTTGTGACACACTTTTTAATCTTTCTATTTCCAATCCCAAGGTGTGGGGTTTTCTCTCCTTTGTTTGTAACTTGGGTAGCTCATATAGTTACCTACCCTGGCTTATGGGAACCTTGCTGACCCTTGCTGGCCTGCTCTGGATAAAATTATGGAGATTGTGCAAAAGTTAGGCTTCAAGTAACAATCACTAACAATTACTAAAGGTAGAAAAACAATGACTTTACAATAAAATTGAATCCTTAGTATTCTGTACAGTTTTACAGAGACGGAACAGAGACAGGGTACACTTTATGGGAGAAAAGAGGATCTAAAAGATGAATGCAACATCACTCAGATCAAGTTAAGAGCTACTTGACCAGAGAAGGTCAGCAAAACTTTCAAAAGTTTTGGAGAGAGGAAACTGCAGCTTTCTCAGCTGGGGATGACTGAAAACTCAGAGTTCAACTTTCACCTCACATCTGAGAGTCTTACACCTGTATAACACCAAGACGACTAAGGTACACTGGAAAAGAGAACTTATGAAGATGACAGGAAGATCTCTGTGTTGGGCTGTTGTTGATTGTTAAAACATTCACAGCGTCTAACCAAAAAGTTTCATTTTGGAAAAGTCTCTTACAAGGTCAGTCATCCTTGAAGAAACTTTGTGATTGAAAACGAATGCAAGAGGATAAAGTGGAAACACTAAATACTATGTGCAAGTGCGGCTTTACAACAGCTCCACTTGCAAAAAAAACTAAATCTCAGATAAGCTTCAGCATTTTTTTTTTGTGTGTGTGTGTTTTTTATTTTTGTTTGTTTTGTTTTCTTATAAGCTTCCACATTCCTAAATTCATTCCGCCACTCCCCTGGGCAGCCTGTTCCAATGCCTGGCCACCTTTTCAGTGAAGAAATTGTTCCGAATATCCAAAATCATCACGCGGTTGATTCTGCTGCATAAAAAGCTGCTTTCTGTGACAGAAAGAAAACCAACCAACCAACCAATCAACCAAAAAAACCCACACAAAAAGAAGTTTTGCTTCAAGAGACTCAGAACAGGCAGAGAACAGTGTGTTTGGTGTGTTTGTGTGCATTTACTCTTCACTTACTACCTGAAAATAAGTCAAGAAAACTATGAGGAGAAATATGGAAAGGTTTCATTTTTTCAGTAAAACATTAAGATATTTTCCCTTCTTTTGCAACCATTTGTGTAGCCTTGAAGGAAGCAAATAAGCACTGAAAGGAGATTATTAGGGTACTTTAGCATAGGATTTTAGTTTTGGGTGATGCTGAGTGATGCTAGAAATGCACTCACGCATATGCTGAGTGATCAGTACCAGAAATCCTTCCCATTCTGATTAATTTTGCATGTGGCAGTTTATTACTTCAGAAAAGAGATGGAGGCTGTAGCAAAGATTATATAAAACTCCGTGGAGTCAATATTTCTCCCTTCACAGAAATGTTTTTGGAACAATCTGGAAGAGTTAACATTACTATCAGATATCACTGTAATATAAGTAATGAATTTGCAATACTAATAAATGGCAAAGGCTGATTTAAATCTCTAACTATAATAGAGCTCTATCAATTTAAACAGATAAGTGAACTCATAAATTCAGTTTTCCTTTGCAGATGTAATGCTACCTTCCAATCCACACATTGCAAATCTGAAACCGCAATATCAAAATGTAATTTCAAACTATGTGATTATGAGCACTGACAAAGCAGGCAGAGGGTTAGGTTCTTGAGGACAGTAGGAAGTTTGCCTCATTCTGAAGTCCTAAAATACTGATTTCCATTCTCCGAGAAGGTCATAGGCTAAACAAATCTTCTTTGAA